ATTCGACCGACGTTTCTTCCGGGAAAAGGTAGAAAAAAAAAAATTTTGAGGAGCGGTTTTATTCGTGGCTGACCCGTCCTCGTGGCCCGTTTCACGAGTCTATAGTAGCTACGTGCGGATACTTCGAATTTTCGTATTACACTCCGCTCGGATATCGAATTTGAATATACGAGAGAGCCTTCGAGGATCGAACCGCAGATCCGCTTGTAAACAAACTTATACAGGGTAACCACTAACCTGTGAGCTAGTGCTACGATTGTATACGTGTCGAATAATTTCAAATTCAAAGGCGTATATAGCGTGCTCTGGCTGCAACCAATTGATGCTTAATATTATACAATTTTCTCGTTATGATAATCACTTCCGACACGTTAGTTACACGTCAGTTCTCGAATCAACGACTGGTAACACTGTGTGTTTCAGCAATTTTCCTCAAAATGCTAAATTAATTGTAGAATTATTTTTTGCCAATCTCCTAATCGTCGAAAATCTACAGTACAATGATCACTTCAGATACACTTTATATTTCCATCTAACGAGATTTTTCGAAACCATAAATTAACCGTTGCAAACGAGCACAACAAGATTCGAATCTTGCCAGCCTTTTGTAGATAGAATCAAACGGAAATATCGTGCAAACAATTGTTACGCGTACGTACCTGTTTTGCTCGTGCGGTTCGTTTGACACAAGCCGGATTTGCAATCCAAATTAACAAAGTATGTTAATGGTAGAGTCTGTGCTTCGATGATAAACTTTGAACAAAATCGAAAACTTCGCACGAAACGAGACAGCACACGTTAGAAGAGCAACGTGTTATTGTTCGCGGACAGATCGTGCCCTCCGGTGGAAAATTGTCGACTAAGAACGACGACCGTTCGTTTAGAGCATGTATTACACTTCGAAACATTTCAGGTTACCGATGTCGTTAAATGCTCGAGCTCGCTGTAAACACCTTTGTTTATATTATACGATCGCGTTGTCCCGATTCAATGTCAAGGCTCACTTTCTCGATATGCGTTCTAAAAACACTCGATCTGCCTACACGCGATTGTACCGTGAAATATATACGTGGTGTTGCGTCGATAAAATAAATTCATGGTTCAAATCAGATACGTTCTTATGGTCATCTTTCTTATTTTACGAACTTTAAGAGGGCGCCTCAACCATGTTCCTTTGTTTCTATTTCGCGCCATAAAATGAATTATCTCTGTGTGTATAGTTTCTACGTGGTGACTCTTTTTTACCACATTGTTGTTACGAGCATAGACTCGCGTGATGTCTACAAGTTCAGTAATGACTTCAAGTATTAATGAAACTAATTATTACGGTATGTGTACTAGTGATTCTCAATGTGTAAACAGTGTTGAGCAAAATGAATTTGGTCATTTTCAAGAGACTTATGATTGGATTGAATGTGAATCGATAAGCTATCCAGGAAAGATATATTTCTTCAATCTAAGAACACATTGTAGAACATGGGTTAAGCCGGTACCGGAATCTGTGCGACTTGTACGTTTCAAAAGAAATTCGGTAAGTATGTGTTTCGTTTAAAGGATCTTGATAAAATCCAATTTTGCGCACGATATATTCGCAAAGATAGCCGTATCACTTTTTTTAAAAAGAGAAATGAAACAATTGACACGAGAATTACAGGTTATCTTTTGCTCGATGAATGTAGTCTTTAAATATTACATTTGAAAACATTAAAACTTATATTAATTAATCTTATATTTATATAGTAATTATAAAAACAATTTAACGAAGCATATTTCTGCAGAAAGTATACAATACTTTTTCATCCGACGAAAACCATACTGACAATCTTGTAATGGTAATATCCTCTGAAAGTGAAAAAGATACAGGTTACAGTAAAAACAAAAGCTCTACACCAAGAATTGTTAAGAAAAGACGAAGCAGGAAAATATCTTTAAAAGATTCGAAAGTAGTTACGCATTCGTATTCCAACGTATCTATAACAAAGTTTTCCAGTAGTGATCACGGTAAATATTTCGATGGTGATTTTAACTACGTTTTAGAAACTTTTTGTGCAAAGAATAATTACTTTTACCTGCATAATTTACTCTTTTGCAAAATTGTTGAAGGTTTTTCGAATGAAAATAGCAATTCTGAAGGAAACAAAATTTCCAAAAGCTTTAATTTAACAACAGCTGCCAAATGTAAATTAGTCGCATCAAAAAGTGGACCAGATGTTACAGATGCAAACAAACAATTAAAGCGGGAAAATGATATAAAAAAGGAGGAAAAAGAAAATGGCGTTATTCAAAATAGTTCTCCAGTTGAAACAAATACAACGAAAAGTAAAGAAATCAAGTGTGAAGAAAACTATTCGTGAAATGTATGGTATTAAGACGATTAATTATGACCCGATCGACCGAGAACTTCCACCTGGGGTAAAAATTGCGTGTCTTAGCGAAAGCAGCATAAATTCGTCACTGCGGCAGACGGATGATCTTAAATCATGTATTGAGAATAACTATAAATTTTTCGATGACAATTTCCATGTTAATCTTTCAAGTGCAACGAGCTCGAGTACTTGTTCTTCAAGTTGTTCTTATTTTTCAACTCCCTCTGATACAAATAGTAGCTCTTCGTGGAAACATTCAGTTATTCTATTATCATAATGTTTTTGTTGTTCAGTTTTGAATCTTCAAAATTAAAGGAAAAACTATTTATAATAGTTACTTATGCATTTAACATAAAATATGTTCGTAAGTAGTAATGCAATTTTCGTTTTATCAGTATGACGACTAATTTTTTATTTGTTTGGCATTTATAAAGTATTTACGTATTATGTTACATTTTTTACGATGATATATCCTGTGATTCAATTTTTCCAAATCCATTTTATCTTTAATTGTGTTATCGTTTTTATCATCTGTAATCGTTTGGATATTCAAAACGAAACAACGGTATACATATGGTACAATGAAATCGTAAAAGTAATATTTTAAGTAATAATTTCGTAATTGATAATCATTTTTACACAAGAAACAAAATTCTTATGTGCGTTCATGAAGCACGTGGTACGCGGTAAGCTTTATAGCGTTATTATTGGTATACTCTAGAGACAAGCTTAGTAAGGTAGGAGTGCCAACAGAGGGCATTCTAAAGATACAGGTGCAACGGTGTGCCCTAAGCCGGCTTGGCTCGTTTCCCTTGAAGTATGAAATCTACGTTTTTATTCGTCTTGCTGTATTCCACGTAACTCCGCCCCATTTATAGCTGTAGAATCAAAGAGCAGATAGTACGTAACAACCCGTGTAATTGAAAGACGTGTATATAGAGAAAACACTTTTTAAATACGCATATTCATAATCTTCTCTTTTCTCTCTTGGTGCTCTCTAATGCAAAAAAACCTTTACGATAAAACAAACGGTAGAAGTAAAGTGTAATCATAGAACTTTTGACAAATATAGAAATATAATACTAATATCAACTTATTCATTACCTATAAATATCATATCCTTGACAGGAGGCTTTCATTAATGTTTATCTAAATGATTACAATTTTTGATACGTATATTGTTATAAATGTACGTAAGTGCGGCGTTCATTGGGTAGCGAAAGAACGGGCTTACATTTCTGTTTTTCGATTTCCTTACGGCATAGCAGTGATGCCGACAAAAATCACGGCCGGTTTTCAGCTTGGCATATGGCAGACGTTACCTCGACGCAGCCGGTGCAGCGTACCGCGACTATTATCCGCGTCGCCGTTGACGAATCACTGTGCTCAAAGCGTAACTGCCAAAGGATCAAGCCGGAACTACGATAAAGAACCTTCGTCTCTTACTTCTGGGAGGCTTTGACCTTTGGAGGGCAAGAAGCAAACGGTTCCTACACGCTTTGATACCGAGTGATCCTTGTATAATTGAAGCATCGCTACGATATTCGTCTTACAATTAGTTATTGTCTTAGCACGTCGTGGTATTTCTATTTGGTATTAAAAGTATACGCATATATGAAATCAAGGATGTGGAACGAAGAAACGAAGAGAATGTACATATAGAAGTATATCGATAAAGTGTATCGAACGTAACCAATTGTAAAATATATTTGATCGTTGAAGAATTGAGATGTAAACTATAGAAAACATAAGTATCTTACGGTAGTTTCTTTTCCAATGTAGTGGACATCGTCAACGTAATATTGTATTACAAATAAAAGATGCAAGATCGATAACGGGCGAGCTAGCGTTAAGAAAATTACAGGTTAAAGAAAGGCAAGAACGTGGTAGCGAGATCATTCGAAGACTTTACATCCTCGTTATTGGCGACGTAATTTTAGCGTGTAACGACCGAGGGATCCTCCGGACATGGCTAGGTAGATAAAGATCGACGCGCTGGCCGTGAACTTTGCACCGTGAGAAGAGTTTTCTTCGCTTAACAAGTCGCACCGAAGTTCCCGCGCTTCCAGACAATGAATCCTTCCACGCGGTGAACAACCGTAGTCATTTCCAGGATTTATAATGGAATGAGAAGGGAAGTTGGATGGTTTCGCGATCTCTTATTGTATTTTCTACACGGTTTTAGACTTTAACAATTTGGAAACAATAAAATCTAAGCCACACGAAATGAAGAAAGATGTATTATAAGTAAATCTTTTATGTATCACATAAAAGTTACACAAAGTTGAACAAACCAATTGCTAATAAAATTTCAAACTTTTGCAAATAAGCTGCAAAAAACATTGATAACAAGGAATGTATATTAACACTGAATTTAAGAATGCAACGTATGTATATGCAGAACATTCGATAAAATGAGTGTTAAAGTTACGTAAAGAAATCTTGCAAAAATTTCATATATCTACGTATTATTAGAAATTAATTTAAAACATTAATTTTTTTAAATAATGGTTAAAAATAATTACTAAATAGTAAAAAGAAATAGTGATTTTTATTCATCGTCAAGGTTTGCATCATGCTCAACCTGTTTCAACAATAGCGGCAACTTCACTGCAGTATTTTGTATACACGTGATCCGTTTCTAACCACAATTTGAAGAAATAACATGGGACGCCGTAAGAAGGTAATTGTTTATTTTAATTTTAACTAACAACTTTCTTTGAGGAATTTATAAATTAATGAAATCCTATGACAATTACCAGTCAAACAAAATGATAACTCTTAACTTTCCTATGTAAACAAATACGTCTTCTAAACTGAGACAATTTAGTTTAGAATACTAAAGTAAACGCGAGATGATTTTTTACTTGATTGTAAATAAATTTTGTTCAGGGACGTTGTGTAAGGAAAAATAAACCGATTGGTGTGGTAGAAGATGTAGATACAGTGAAAGCGCCTCATTCATTTGTTGTTCATCGTGGATTACCTGGAGAACATATTGATGAACTTACCAAAGACTTCCGAAAAATAATGGAACCTTATACGGCAATGGCTTTAAAAGAAAGGAAAAGAAATACAATTAAGGATTTTGTATCTGTGGCCAGCTTACTTCATGTTACACATATGTGTATATTTACAAGAACAGAACAAGGAATGTATTTTAAACTTTGCAGGTATAAAACTCAATTATGCTATTAAAATGATTATGAATTATTATGAATATTTTTTAATAATTGAAAACAATTGTATAATAGGTTATCTAGAGGACCAACACTGACATTCAAAATACACAGCTTTTCCTTAGCACGTGATGTAGTATCTTTGTTAAAAAAGCAAATGGTATATGAAGAATTATTTAAGAATTCTCCGTTAGTAATACTAAATAATTTTAGTGGAGAAGGTATGCAACTGAAGCTTATTGCTTCTATGTTTCAAAATATGTTTCCAACGATAAATTTAACTTCAGTAAGTTTAATAAGTACTGAAATTTGAATGATAAAAGATATATTCAGTTGGTTGGGACCTCATATTAGAGAAAAATATTTTTTATCATATCTTTACAGGTAAATTTAAGTACAGTTCGTAGATGTCTATGTTTGAATTATAATACAACATCAAAAACTATTGATCTCAGGCATTATGCTATTAGAGTAGTGCCTGTTGGTTTATCAAAAGGTGTTAAGAAATTGGTTCAAGCTAAGATACCAAATTTATCTAAATGTGGTGATTTTTCTGATTTCTTAATGAAAGGAACAGTTTCTGAAAGTGAAGCTGAAGATGATCCTGCAAGTCATGTTACATTAACCCAAAAATTGTCCTCGCGCGGTAATCATGCAAGTAGTACAAGTGCAATCAGACTTTCTGAATTAGGACCTAGATTAACATTAGAGGTTAGCAATATTTTTCCTGCCTTTTTTTCAATATATACTTAAAGATTGATATTTGATATTCTCCTTTAAAATATTTATAGTTAGTAAAAGTTGAAGATGGACTTATGGATGGTGAAGTACTTTATCACGAGTATGTTCACAAAACAGAAGAAGAAAAGTTATTAATAAAGAAAAAACGAGAAGAAAAGAAGAAGTTGAAAGAAAAAAGGAAAAAGATACAAGAAGAAAACAAACAAAGAAAGGAATTACAAAAACAAGAACATAAAGAAAAATCTTTGAAGGGAATGCAGAAAAAGAAAGAAAGTGATAAATTATTACAAAAGTTCGCAAAAGAATCTTTTGAAGGGAGCAATGTAAAAGATGATGATGACGCACAATATTATCGCGACGAAGTTGGCGAAGAACCTGATAAAGGTGACCGTAATTTTACACGTTTCAAAGAATGTAATTTATTAACGTCTTATGCTTCGTTAATTTTTTATTGCAGATTTATTTGCAAAAAATGTCGGCAAAAAGAGGTCTGAAAAGTTTGTACCTAGATACAAGATAAAGAAACAGAAACTTGACGAGTCTTGAATTACTGGACATTAAGATAATAAAGTGTGAATATATCATTGTAATTTACTTAAAATAATTGTGTATAGTACATATATACGGAGTAAAATATTTTTTAATAAAAATAATTTTCCAAAGGATAAAATTGTAGAAATATTCAATTTATCCACTATTTATTAATCGTAATAGATCAATTATCTTGTAATTAAAAAAATAATTGGAATCATAGATTTAATATCAAATATGTAATAATGTTAATTCAATCGTGATCAATTATATTTCTTACAATAAATATATGTACATATGGTACAGATATCATGAAGTAATTACTTTTTAATGTTACTGATTAAAATGCGTGACTATTGCACGGTATTGTATGTGTAAAAAAATAAATAATTTATGTTTAACGCGAATATATTTAAAATTATTTTATGGTTTTGAATTCTTTTCAAAATCGAAATACTTATTGAAATATGTAACATTGTTGTATGGTTGATTAGATCTGTCTTGTAATACTTCGTTCGATTTTAAAGTAAGAGAACTTTGTGCTTCCTCCAGTTGTTTTACCCTGTTTTCCAATTCTTTTATTCGTCGAGACCGGGAACGACACAAATCCTTCATTAAAATCCTTTCTTTTTCCATTTTTTGTATTTTTACATGGTCCTGTATGAGTAATGCGAATTAAAAGATGCATATTTTATATTCAACAAAAATTAGTATGTATCAATATTTTTCTTACCTCAACAACTCCACTATTTATACTGCAGAAGCGCACTGAACTATTGGGCATTGTTTGACAAGCTTGATCTTTCCTATTTACGCGCCACCGTCTACACACATCGCATTCCCATGTATTAACATCATTCACAGTTCTTTGCAGTTTCCTCACTTCAGAGCTCAATTCTGCATTCTATTTATGAAATTATGTTTATAAACTCAAACGTTAATTTTTATATTTTATTACGTACCTTATTACGAAAAGCGAGTAGAAGTTCCTCAAGATCTTTACATTTTCTTTGATAAGGGAAATTCTGACTCTGAATCTGTATCTCTAGGGTTGCAATTTTACCATTTTTCGATACCAATTGCAATTCTAATTCTTGAATCTTTTTCTTCAATTGTTCACACTTCTCTTGATGTTCACCAAGGTCTTTATCATATGTTACAACTTTTTGTTGCTTCCTTACACTATCCTGCAGTATACTTCTTTCATTATGAACATCGAAGCCTGATCTCATTTGAAGTTCTCGAATTTCATTTTTAAGTCTTTTATTCTCTGTTATAATGAATTCTACCTTTTGTTTCAAGCCGTTAACTTCCCTTTTTGTTGAAAGCGAATCCAAGTTGATTTCTAATTTTGAAATATCTGAATCACGATCGTGAATGATTACCGCATATTCTTCCAATGCTACGTCAAGTTCTTTATTTTTCGCTGTAAAATCTCGCATTTTATTTATATATTCTTTAACTTCTTTATCTTTCTCATTTAACAGTAATTTTTGTGATTCTAATTCTTTTGTGAGTCTGTTCTTCTCTCCTTCCAGTTCTTTGATGCGATTACACGCACCTTCCAAATTGCTCTGTGACTTTTCGTTCGAATTTTCTAATTGGTTTATTTCTTTAAGCTCGTTTATCTGTTTTTCATAATTACTTATCTCTATTTGTAATGCCATATTCTCCTCAATTAAGGCATGAATATTTTTTTCATTCCGCGACTTAATATCTTTTTCTACGTCCATTTGTAATCTCATTTTAAGTGCTTCGATTTTGTCTTGAAGTTTATCATTTTCATCGTTGACATTTCTTAATTTTTCCTCGAGTTCGTTGATGAGGGTATTTTCTGTTAAGCGGGAATACAACTTCTCCTCTAGCTTAGAAATTTCAGTGTCTCGTTCTCTAATTATCGCTGCATATTCTTCTACTTCATCATCCAGTTCTTTATTTGTCTCAGTTAATTGCTGTATTTGACTCGCATATTCTTTGAGTTCCTTATCCTTCTGATTCAGTACTATTTTTTTACCTTCTAATTCCAACGCGATTTTATTTTTCTCTAAAAGAAGCATATCATACTTACCTTCATCTATCAACGAATTTGAAATCGAATGTTTCGTTTTGTATGATAAGAGCGATTTCTTTAATTCGATGTTTTCTTGTAACACAAATTCATATGTACCCTTTAAGTCAACCAATTCTCTCAAAGTTTGGTTTTTAATCTCTTGCAACTCCACTATGCGATTGCTCGCACCTTCCAAATTATTTTGCAATCCTTTGTTCAATTCTTTCAATTCCTCTATTTCTGCTTCTGCTTTAATCTTACTAGTACTATTTCTAATCTTTCTCTCTAGTTTTCTATTTGCTTCTTCAAGTTCTTCATACTTTTCCTTCAAACCATTTAATTCTTCTATTAGTGCATTGTTTCCGTTGGTCAGATCACGTAATTGTTTGCTTAATCCAACGTTTTTTGCTTCTTCTGTGTTTAACTTGTCTTTGATAATTTCCAGTTGTTCCTCTCTTTCATTTTTTAGTGCCTCTATTTCTTCTTTAGATCGTTGTATGGTCAATTTTTGATCTGTGACATGCTCTTTCAACATTTCGTATTCTGGTATAACTGTTTCAAGTTTTGTTTTGTATTCAGATAACATATCACATTTATTCTTTAAAATAGCCTTAATTTCTTCAATGTGTAAATTCTTTTGTTCAATATCCTGATTGACTTCGTTGTAAGCTTGCGTGACTTGTTCAAGTTCTGCATTCATTTTTTCCATGTGTTGACTATTTCTTTTAATTTCACTCTCCTTTTCATCGATGGTATCTTTCAAACGGTTTTCAACAGCGACGTAATTCTCGATAGTACTTTCAAAACCTGCAATTTTTGCTGTGTAAAGGTTTAGATTATAAACAAGTTCAGTTTTTTCTTCCTCAAGTTTTTCTATCTCAGATTTCAATTTTGTCTTTATTTCTATTTCTTTGTTCTTGAATGTTTCCTGTGCCACTCTTTCTTTTTTATGGGCAATAAGAATTGCTTCTTCCTGTTGAATGTCAACCTTACATCTCCTATCAAAATCGACTTGTAAATTATTGTAGTCTGCTTCAAGTGCTCTCATTTTTTCTTTGAACACCTCCACTTCATAATTACTTTCTCTTAGAAGATGTTCTAATTGGGAGATCTTATTTTCATATTCCATTTGAGCATGTTCTCTTTCAGTCAATTCTGCCTGGAGCTTTTCAATCTCTGCTTCCAATTCTTTGACCCACGTAGTTGCACGTTTCTCTATATCCATGCATTGTTCTATCTCATCTTTCAATTTTTGTTTCTCCTTTTCGTATGTTCCGCGAACAGTTTTAATTATTTCTTCTTCCTTAGATATAAGCGTTTGCAGTAAGACTGTAAAGATTTCATTTACAGATTTATTTGAATAGTCATTTATGTTACATTTAAGTGAATTCAGTTCTTTAATCATACATCTTTTCGCGTCGTTCAATTCCTCGTTAAGTTTCTCTTTATCGTTGATTAATATCTTTTGTTGATCAAATACATGTTCTTTTTCAGCC